TTCATCGACGACTGCACGCGTTTCGCCTGGACGTTCCTCATCCGGCACAAGACGACGTCGGTGCGGCCCTGGAGCAGCTGCGCAAGGACCGCCACGTCGTCAACGCGCTCCGAGGCGCCACGCTGCAGACGGACAGCGACGCCGTCTTCAAGAGCCAGGACTTCACCGACCTGTGCCTGGCCTTCGACATCAAGCAGCGCTTCTCGCCACCGCACTCGGAGGCCAAGAACGGATCCGCAGAGCGCACCTTCCGCACCCTCTTCGAGACGGCGCGTACGATGCTGTTTGCTGCGGACCTGGACAAGCCGTTCTGGGGCTTCGCCGTGCAGCACGCCACGCTGCTGCACAACATCGCGCCACGCAGGAGCCTCAAGGACAAGTCATCGTTCGAGGCCCTGACTGGGCACCCCTTCGACGTCAGCCTGTTGCGCGTCTTCGGCTCGCCGGCCTACGTGCATGTGGAGAAGAGCAGCACGCGGCACAAGCTTGACCCACGCTCACGCGTCGGCGTCTACGTCGGGTTCGCCGAGGAGGACCAGGCCCACGTCGTCTGGATGCCGGACACGCGACGCGTTGTCCACACCATCCACGCTCGCTTCGGCGCCATCAAGAACAAGCACGCCGCCTCCTCTCAGCAGCAGCAAGAGCAGAACAGCGGTGCCTCTGCTTCGCATGCCAACAACACCGCTCAGCGTTCGACCGAGGACAGTGCCACCGGCGCTCCCACTGCACCACGTGCGGGGGAGCCGCAGCTCCAGCCACGCGCCCTTGGCGGCTCCGTCTGGGACCAGCTGCTGTTGTCCGAGACCCTCGGTGACAAGGACACCTCTGGTGGCTCAACCACCACGTGTCACGTTGCCACCAGCGCTGCTGGTACGGGGGAGAAGACATCAGCAGTGGGTGGTCATCTACCAGACATCGCTGCTGGCAGTTTTGCCACGTCAGCTGAGCCAGCCACCGTCAAGGACGCGCTTGCCTCGCCAGACTCCGAGGAATGGCGCCAAGCCATCCTGGACGAGTTTGCGGCAATGCAGGCCAATGACTGTTGACAGGCAAGTCCTGTCTGCTGAGTTCCCAAGGGCCACAAGCTGCTCCGCAGCATGGTCATCTTTCGGAGGAAGCGCGATGACCAGGGCAAGGTGATCAAGTACAAGGCGCGCTGGGTTGCCAAAGGCTACTCCCAGGTCCACGGTGTCAACTACACGGACACCTTTGCCCCGACGGCTACCATCGCAGCCATCCGCACCATGCTCGCCATGGCCGTCGCGCGTGGCATGAACGTCCAGCAGATGGACGTCAACACGGCGTTCCTCAACGCGCCCGTGGATCACGAGATCTACGTCCAGCCACCGGCCGTCGACGGCATCTTCTCGCCGAATACGGTGCTGCGCCTCAAGCGTGGGCTGTATGGGCTGAAGCAGAGCCCGCGCCTGTGGAACCACACGCTGGACGCCTGGATGCGCGAGCAGGACTTCGTCGCCACAGCCACGGACGCCTGCATCTACCGCCGCACCTGCAAGGGTGGCAAAGTGATGTGGGTTGCCGTCTACGTGGACGACCTCCTCATCTTCGCCGACAGCGACAGCGACATGGCCGCGTTCAAGAAGGCCATCTCCAAGCGCTTCAAGATGAAGGACCTGGGCAGCCCAGACATATGTCTCGGCATCAAGGTGCAGCACGACCGCAAGGCCAGGACCGTCACATGAGCCAGGAGCACTACCTGCGCAACGTGCTGGAGACCTTCGGCATGGCTGACTGCAAGCCGGTCGGCACGCCGCTCTGCACGGGCTACGTCGACAGGCCAGCCGACAAGGAGGAGCCACTCCCGGACGTGCCGTTCCGCGAGCTGCTTGGCTCCCTCCTCTATGCTGCGACGATGACGCGCCCAGACATCTCGGCGGCTGTCTCCATGCTGTCTCGCCGCATGCAGCATTTTGGCATGGACCACTGGAAGGCTGCCAAGCACCTTCTTCGCTACATCAAGGGCACCTTGTCCTACACCATCAAGTACGCCGCCACTGGCGAAACCAGCAACGGCAGCACTGCCGACGGCGTGCTCTCAGCGTACTCGGATGCGTCGTTCGCCTCCGACGTTGACACGCGACGTTCCCGCACGGGCTTCGTCGTCTTCTGTGTTGAGACACGACAGGTGGTGTGTGTGTGTTTACTGTAGGCAAACGCAACAAACAAGAACACAAGGAGAATGAACAAGCACAACAAGCTGCTGCCAAATCAACTCGGGCAGCACGCTCAAACAAACACTAGACAAGTGCACACACAGTCAATGACGCTGCCAAGGCGACATGGGCAGAGTGTGCACGAACACAAACAATCTAAACAGCGAACAGCATGCATACATGCGCGCAAAGCAATGCTAGGCATGGCATGAATGCTTGCAGGCAAGCATACACTTCACAACACTGCATGGCACGCACACATGGCATTTGCCAAGCATGACGGGCATGCACACACACATGGCACACATGACACACAACTCACGTGTGCAGGGGAAGGAGGAGAGGAGAGGCAGTTGGCACACATGCATGCCAGCAGAGAGGAAGGAATGTTTGCCAACGGAAAAACCACAAAGCAGGTGTTGTTGGCAAACAAGACAAAACCACATGAGAAGGCAAAGTAGGAAGGACTCAACACAAAACAGAAACTCACTCACTCTCAACACTCCCCCTCAACTGCCTTCCTCTGCTCCGCCTCAGCCGTCGAAGTTCCCACCAGTCGTGGCAGGTGCTGCTCGAAGGTCTGCTTGTCTAGTGCCTTTGTCAGCGCGTCGGCAACCATCTGCGTGCCGGGACAGTGCTGCAGCACAATGGTTCCGTCGGCGATGAGCTCCCGCACGAAGTGGTGGCGTACCCGGATGTGCTTCGTGCGCGGCTTGGTGACGTGGTCGTTGCCGATGGCGATGGCCGCCTGGTTATCTGTCAGCATCTTGGTGGCTCCAGCCTCGGGCTCGTCGAGGTCCATGAGCAGCTGCCGCAGGAAGACGACATCCTGCGCTGCAGCGGAGATGGCCATGTACTCGGCCTCGGCGGTGCTCAGCGCAACCGTGGGTTGCAGCCGGCTGCTCCAAGACACAAGACAGCCGTTGATGTAGCAGGTGAAGCCCGTCGTGGAGCGGCCCGTCAGCTGGTCCGTGCCGAAGCTGGCATCGCTGTAGCACACCAGGTCCAGCTGGTGCTTGCGCGTGCCAGTGCGACTGTTGTAGATGGAGGCGGTGCTCGGTTTATAGTCTTCAGGTACAGTACCGC